GGCAGGGTAATAGAAACCCTGTGTGAGATCCAGAGGAGCGTGGCAGCCTGATCCACCGCCCACCTCTTCCCATCTTCGAGCGCGACTAATATAAGACGTATTTACGATTTCTACATTGGTAGCCTGTTCACCCAGAGCATCTGGAGCTCTGCACCGTGGAGCCTAGCAACCTCCACGAGACCGTCTGTGTTGTGTCTGTCTGTAACTGCAACTTAATCAAGCTTTCCAGCCTACACCATTGCCATCTCGGTGTAAGTAAACAATCTTTTAAACTACCGATACGTGTCCGTGCCTAATTCCAGAGCGAAGGCCTTCCCTCTCCACCCCCGCGTGCCCGGGCTGCTGGCCACAGCCCGCGTGCAGCACGAAAAAGGGCTCGGGGCGCTCCCGGCCCGCACAAGGGCTTCTTACAACAATACAACAGAATAAATTACAAAACAGGAGAATGAGAGAAACTAGAGAATGAGAGCAACTAGAGTATCAGAGAGCCCCTACATCCCAGTCTAGCTTTGTTTGCTAAACACTTGCCCAAAAGATATATGTGGACTATGCCTTCAGCATTCAGAATTAAGTCAAAGGCCTAAAAGATATAAACAAAGAGATGTAACAATAGGAGCGCTGAGATGCATGCCTTTTATCCAGTTTGCTGTCAATGAGGTCCTGGGTTTGGTTGGCAGAGGTGCGAGCAGAAAACATTAGAAAATGAGTGATGTATTCCAGAGGCAAGTTCTTCAAAAGCTTGTCTGAAATAGTGAGCGTCTTCCCAGTGCCAGTTGGACCAATACAGAGAACCTAGAAATAAAGGCATCATTACAATGTATTTACAGGCAGAAGATACGCCCATTTACAAGCTGGTTTGCTCTCAGTGGGCATATCCAGATGGGCGCAGTCACAAGGTATGTGGCACCGCAAACATACCGCAGTCTGTTGTGCTCTGCATTGCACTGCATTCTCCGCATTGCAAGGGCATTTTTTTTCCGCGTGGTTTTTTTGACCCTTGGATATCCAGGGTAAAAAAAACAAAACAAAAAACAAACCCAAAAACGGAGCAGTGCACACTTAGGCAGCATGTGCCACTGAAAGGTGGAGCCGAGATGCCCAGCGCTGTGCTGTGGCTGGTGGCCAGGCTCCGTCCACCAGGATCGCTGTGACTGCAGCCCCGGGAGGCCCCCAGGGCCCCAGGTAAGGCTGCTGGGGCCAACAGTGCTGGCCCCAACCTCCCCTACTACCCCTGCGGTAACTTGCCATGCGCCGAAGTGCGTGTGGCACAGGTGTTATCTGGGGACAAGCAGCTGCGGCACAAGGTACACTGCTGCTAGTTGTTCCCAGGGAACCAAATGTCCACACATGTTCAGATGCATTCAGTGGACATATCTACACAAGATGCTTACGGCGGAGTTGCCTAATTAGCTCTGCAGTAAAATGTCAGTGTCTATGTGTGCGGCCCTATTAGGCCACAGTAAACTAATAAACGCCGCCATAGGATAGTACTGCCTAATACAAGTACTATCTTACAGTAGGTAGCATTATTCAGTGCATTGCACTGCATGTGTAGATGCTGATGGGGCTGGCTGGGGCACAAGGGTACTTCTGCATGCTGGCTAGCTCCACAGTCAAGCACCCTCCTGAGCCCCTGTAGCACATTGAGCTGGGTCGGAGCAGCCCCAGATGGCAAGCTGACCCCCAGGGCCCCTTACCATTTGGGGTTGTTCTGTCCTCGCTCAACATGTTGCGGTCCTGGGGCGCATGTGTAAATGCTGTGCCCAGGAGCAATAAACTCCAATGTAAACTGTGCTGGAGTTTATTCAATCAAATTAATTTCATGTGTAGATGCACCCAGTGTCTTATTTTGGAGAATGCAGACTCCCACCTTACTGGGCTTTCTAAAGTTGGGCAAGGACAAGAAGTTAATGCTCTCAGGGAAGCCGTTCAGGTTGACAGATTTCTCTGAGTGGAAGAAACCCAACTAGAGAAGTATGAAAAGAAGCCCTGGAGAATGGATAAATCTTGAATGGTAACTAATCATCATTCAGCCAGTGAGGATAAGTGTGCAAAACCTAGCCCCAAATCTGAATTACTTTGACCAAGCTATGAAAAAAAAGTCAGGGTTTTCTGTTAGTGAAAATCTGGTAGCTGAGGAAAAGGAAGAAGATGCTTACTTGCTAGGCACTACGTTCAATCACAAGGGGTGCCTATGCACGAGTGTAGAGGCTGCTTCAACGCACTGTAATTACAGCACATCAGAGCAGATTCAATTAATCGAGTCTGCTGGAGCGTGGTAATTATTGCACACCAGCCAGCTTCCACATTTCGTGTATCAGCATCCCCACACTTCAAAATGGCAATGTGAGCGCTTTATCTAAAACTTGTTGAACAAACTAGATAAATCATCTCCTCTGCCATTCTGAAGCACAGGGAAGCTGATACACGAGATGCTCCGGGCACTTAAATTGTAGTGGCTCTCGGAGCTGCTCTAATTAAAGTGCCCGCCCCCACCCCCCCCCAGCACGTGTATAGATGCCCAAGAGTTCCTGTCTGTGAAGAGTGGGGAGAATCTAACTAAATTAGATAAACTTGGGAGAGAGAAGGGGAACTTGTACCATGGCCAAAAACACCCACATTTAAATCCAAAAACAAAGATCAGGTCAAGAAACATACTGGTTTTCGATTGGTGAGCAGCATTTCCAGCAGGTAGGCCATCTGGACAGTATTCATTGTTGGGATAATAATGTCACAGTAGTTGGTGTCAGGAACCATGGTGAACTGTTCAGTAGAATCCATCCATTTCACCCAGCACACCTGGAGGACAGGAATGTTACTGGAAGGGGCAACTGCCTCTAATGATAACAGAAAACTGAGCACGCACACTATGCTTTTCCTCTTCAAATTTGTTTGCGTATGTCAGGAATATGTTACTCAAGAGTCTGACTCTTTCACTAGAGCTCAGTAGCAGGCAGTGGATTTGAGATCACTGCCCCAAAAGTAACCTACTTTAATTCGTTTTGAGAACTTAGCTCAAATGTTGACAAAGCACTTGAAATGTTTACATAAACAGAAAAATCTATTGCACACAGAACAAAATCAAAGGCAGAAAATGGACCCGTCTGCAACTGTTGAGGACTGTTTATCTAGAAATCTTTCTTTGTTTGCTACAATCTCTTGTCCTGTGTTCACCTGAAATACAAGGAGGTTTGTGTGCGTGTGCAGGAAATGAATGCCTGACCTTTTAAAAAAAAAGTCAGATTCCAAAACTGACTATCCAGAACTAGTACACAGATTAGGCAAGGAGTATGCAAGGGACATTCAGGGTAGCACTGCTGGAAATCCCAGGCCTTACAGCCACATGAAGCTACTATCAGAGCAATGTACCAGAACCCTGTCTAGGGAATTTAGCTTTCATGTCAGTTTTTGGCAAGCAGCTGATGAATGTAAAAGGCTTCTTGTTGCCCTCTGAGTTCAGGAAGGGGGAAGAAATTTCTCTCCTCCTGCTTTTCTCTCTCACCTTCCACCTCAGAGCCTTATGAATTGAGTAGCTGGGCCACTATTACTACTCTATGGGCATGTCTACATGTGTACTTTAATGTGCAATAGCCTATTTTACTGTGTATTAAAGCATGACAAAAAGCCATGCAATTATGCTAAAGCACAGTAAAAATAGGCCAGTGTGCATTAAGCATCACTTAAAAAACATGTGCTTTCGATACTGTGCATTAGGGCAGCCTAATGGGCATTTATTTACTACCTCACATTGGAGGTACTAAATTTAATGTGCATTAGGAAAAGCATATTAATGCATGTGTAGACATGGCTTATATCTTCCTTTGCCTCATAGCTGCTGTAAAAAGGGTGTGTGAGGTTCTGCCTTCTTTGGTCCTCCTCTACACTCCATTTCTGAGGCCCTTCCTCTCTGAAAATAGCTCCAGTAATCTATCTGTCTCTGCTCCTAATTTTAATGAGCAACAGCACATGAAATGGACATGAATCTTGTCATTTTAACTGCTCTCCTCCATCTACCCCTCAAAAAGGAGTAACAGCAGTAAAACTGAAAAGAGATTTGTTTGTTTTCCAAGTAATAACACAGGCAAAGCAGCTGACAGAAAGCTACACATGATTCATGTTTGAAAGATCTAGTTCACAGTCATAAGGGTAAAAATGCCCTTTTTAAATGGAAGTTTCAATTTAATTGTAAATATCCCCCACACCATGGGAAGGCTCCTGCTTGTTACTGATGAAATGATTCTGTCAAAATCTGCAGTACCTTACTATGGGTTTCTGGTCCCTTCCTTCAATTCTCTATTTGAATTAATTGCTTAGGTTTTTAATTCACAAATTCCAGGTGAGTGAAGTCTTTTACCTCTTTGACAATCTCTTCTTCTAGATCTTCCTCAGCACTGCTAAGCCCAGCATCATCCAGCTTATAATCATATACCAGCCCATCCTCTGGGAAAAGTAACTGGATCTGTGTGGAATAAAACAGATCATGAATGCCAAACCCAGGCCCCACTCCAGATGTGCTGATCAAGAGGAACCAGGCTAGCTTAGAGAGGATTGCTTTCAGCAAAGACACTGTACAACCTACATGACCTATTCCTGCATTCTCTTTCCCAGAGGTTCTGATGCATATGGTCCACTGAAGATTGAATTTGAAGCTTTCCCTGGGGACCGTGGCACAGAAAAAAAGCCCTACAAAAGTCTCCCAGAAATTCAGGGAGCTGTGTAACCCCCATTAGCCATGTGCTTCTTATCTTTTCATTGGCTTACTTGTTCATGTGCCATCTTCTCTCTTAACCACAAGTTGAAGGCGACACGGCTTTGGGCATCTCCTGTTGCACCCACACTCCAGATCAGGGAGAATATAAACCAAGGTTCAATCAGTTCTCCAAGGCGTGCTGTCTTCTCACGAGGGACTTTCCTAATTCCCTGAGGATCCCATAAGGAAACAAATGTAATCCTCAAGCACAGTTCAAATGGAAAGGGGGTAAAATAAGGTCATCTTGCTGAAAGTCTTGACTCCACCTGCACTGCCTTTCTAAAATGATTCTTTCCAACATCATTCATCCCAGGCTATAGGCCCAATTCTGCTCTGTTTTGCTGATCTCATTCCAGAAAACATCTGTTGACTTCAGGAAAGCCACTCCAGTGTAACAGGGAGCAAAATTTGACCTATGAATTTTACCTTCAAAACATTCCTGTCTCTTTCAGTATTAAGACAGAGATCATGCAATCTCAGGCATATTGCTATTTACCTTTCTGCTTCTCACCAGTTCTCAGACTCTCTCAGTTAAAAAAATAAAAAGTTACTTCTTTTACCGAACACAATAGGCTGGTATTTATCCATCTACTCTCTTGCTCTTATACTTTGGCCCACTGATACAAAGGTAACCTAACCAAGACACACCCATAGAATTAACATTGTCGCTACTCATTCTACAGGCAAATTTCCAGATCCATTCACGTGGAGCCCTGCAGAACAGACCTGAGCATGGAACCACATCATGTGACCTGAGGGTCTGCTCATGGGGGTCAAAATTTAGCAGCTAGAGGAGCAGCAGCTGCCACAGCTCCAGATGTCACAGCCATTAACACTGCCATGACCAAATTTCAACCCTGTGTGGCTGGATGAGTTGGAACCACTGCTATGATATGTGCAGACACAGTGTTATCCTTTAGCCACAGCTCATTGAAGACAGTGCTCAATATAATGTGCACTCAGCATGTAATGCTGTAACCAACCTCCTGTATGCAAACAAGCCTCAGTGTAACCATCCAGGCCCCTTCCTGTTCAGTACACTGTTCGCCTGGGACTTCCATTTCACGCAGCAGTTGCAGCACAACTCTAGCTTTCCACCTGCACTCTGCAGTTAACTCCTTATTGCCATGAGGAGTGAGGCCTACAAGCAGATGATACAAAAATCCTACCTCAATGGGGATGAAAGGTTGAAAGAAACACTCCAGTAGCTTGAGAAGGCTCATCGTCAAGTTACTGTCTGTTGAGGCAATTACCTCCTTCACAGATCTCCGGACAAAGCTGATGGAGTCCTGCAAGGATCAGGCAGAGGCAGCTCAGCTCCAGTGTCAACTACATTAGAGTTTATTTACCTCCTAGGGTTTCCGTTTCTCCTTTTCTCACGGCAGGTTACATTTATCAGGGAGGTCACTGTTGAAAAATCTGCTGTTTCAAGCTGTGCCCCAAATACCATTCACTTCAACCAGTGAATGAAGGCCCTGGAGAGAGTGTGTGTAAAACTCTTTTGTTTAATACTGAACAGATTATAATACAGGCCTGCCCTTTGGTTCTGTACAAAATCTACCATGTCTATGTCACAGTCAGAGCTGATAAATAGCTTGTTCTTCTAAGAGACATCTTACTACACTGTGGCGTTTTCCATTAAAATGATTATTTAGGAGCAGGCTGGAAATAGCAAGACTTGCCTTTTGCAGTTCAGAGCCAAATTCATCCCTAGAAAAACTCCACTGAGGGAAATGGAGTTGCCCCAGGGATGAATTTAGCCCAAGGATTATAAAAACACACCTTCCTTTGGGCTAGTATGAAGTCACAACTATATGGATCAGTGAATAAAATCTTTATTAAGACCAGCAGATTCACAGACCATTGTGTATATGAGTAGCATGAAAGGTACCCTAAAGGCATTTAAACTTCAGTCTTTAGAAGTATGAGCTACATTAAGTCCTGACAGACTCTGAGCCACTGGCATTCTGAAGCTGGGGCTGTCAGACAGACTCAACAGCACTGGGAGAGATCCTGACCGTGATGGTAGCTCACCTCAAGAAATTTTCTGAAGAGGGATGCTAACTGCTCCAGGAAAGGCTTCATGACCTCAGGGATTTCTCTTAGCCAGCACTCGGTGAAGGGCTTGAGTCCCAAGATACTGGGTTCTAAGTAAACCATGCCACACCGGGAGACTGTGGCTGGGGAGGCAACGGCCAAGTCCTGTACTTCAAACATCATGGTCATACTCTGAAAACCATGGAAAGACAACAAGCAGCCATCAGCATCACTTGATCTCTGGAAATCTAGGCAAGTAGAAGCTTTCAACCCAGTTCTGAATTAAGGTCTGCAAGCCAAACAGTGCTGTCCCATGTCCCCAGGCAGGAAGGAAAGAAAGCAATCCCCTTGAGGAGCAAAGCTAATGTTGGGAGATCCTGGATATCCAAGTCAATACAATGAAGAATGTAATGAGTCAAGAGCTGAGACTGGCAAGGGTATCAGCTCTCTGTGAGCAAAAAGAAAGAAGCAAAACTCAAGAGCGACATGTCTTTTCTAAGCCTATGCAAGAAACACAACCTCATTCCCAGAGGACTACACAGCCACAATCCTCTGACTACTACACACAACTCCAAATATGCTTCACAGCTATGCAGAAGAACTTCAGAGAAAATTAGAAATCATCTACTTCACCTAATCTACTCCAAAAGAGACCAACTCAAGAAGGAAATCACCATATGCTACAACAACTTAAAAGAGAAAAATCCAGACATCTCTATTATTATACAATGGATACAAAGAGACTATGAAAAATTTTCTAGAACATTCATCCAACATAAAAAGAAGAAATGGAACAAATTACTCCAGGAACAACTTTCCCAACTGCAAAACAACCATCAGAGGAACAACACCAACACCGTACAACGTTCCAGCCTTAGACTTGATGAAACTGAAAGCAGCAGCAAGCTCTCAAATATCATCAATCTCTCCACACACACACTTACCAAAACTGAAAAAATCTGTCCTTTCTAAAGGCCTAAATTTCTGTCCAGAAAAATACCCTAATAAAATACTTCAGTGTGGAGAACTAGAAGAATTCTTCCGACACCTGCGCCTCAAGGAATATTTCCACGACCCAAATGAATCTACTTCCAACAACAACTCACTCTCCGACAACATTGAGGAAAAAATCAACCCCCCAAAACCATTAGATTGGACACTTCACAGTGCATGAAACTCTAACCTTGACCGCTACATTGACTGCTTCAGGGAAAGAATGAACAATGAAATAATCAACAACACGTGCCACCACCACAACCTCTCCCTACCAGAGAGAAAGGCCAGAGAATCTCTAAGATCTAACCATCAAATAGTAATAAAACCTGCAGATAAAGGAGGAGCCATAGTTATCCTAAACTGTGAAGACTACATAAAGCAGGGGTGTCTAACCTTCTTGAATGTGGGACCAGATCATGAACTTTCTATCACCTAGTGGGCCAGCGAGCCATACTCAGAGACCTCACAGGAAGTGGTATCACATCAGGAAGTGATGTCATGTGACCTTTGACACCAATGAAGTTGCAGGAAGTGACAATGAAATGCATCTAAATAACCAGTTCAAAACTCTCCCTCTATAGCATCCACCTCTGCCGCTGTCCGGGACAGGATACTGAGCTAGATGGACCATGGGGCTGACCAAGCACGGCACTTTTTATGCTCTTATGTTCAGAAGCTCTTATGTTCTTTGGCTGAGCTTCCAAACTATGGCTGAGATTTGCAAAAAGGGGTAGATAGGCATGTTACAAAGTTGTCATAAAAGATTTGGAGCCCTCTAAATCCCATTCATTTTAATGGAAATTGGTCTTTTTACTCAGTTTTGAAAATCTCAGCCCAAGGTGCCAACCAAATAAGTCAAAATATATTTTGCATATATGGGGATAGGAGGAGCCCAGCCGGGTTAGCACCAGCCAGCAGAAGTGGCAGCAGAGCCATGTGCTGCTCAGGACTGACGGGCGCAGGCAGGGGGAAAATGCAGCTGAGCCCCTGCCGCTCTGGCCGGGCTCCTCCCGTCCTGAGCGGCCCACGGCTCCCCCCCCCCCTCCCGGCGGCCCCGCCCGCTCCTTTTGTTGGCCGGTGCCAACCTGGTCAGCCTCCTCCTGTCCCTGTTAGCATGTGGGAAGACAGCTTCAGCTGCATGCTGCTTTTCCTGGCCGGTGCTGACCCGGCTGGGTCCATCCCACCTGGAGCAGCATGCGGCTGAAGCCAGGTTCCCACATGCTGCTGAGAACAGGAGGAGCCCGGCTGGGTCTGCACCAGCGACTGCACCAGTCAGTCCCAAGTGGCATATGGCTCTGCCACCGCTTCTGCTGGCCAGTGCTGACCCAGCCGGGCTCCTCCTGGCCCCAGCAGCACGTGGGAAGCTGGCTTCAGCTGTGTGCTGCTCCGGATCGGACAGACCTGCCCAGGTTGGCACCAGCCAGCAGAGGCGGCAGCGGGGCCATGTGCCGCTCAGGACTGAGCGGCGAGCTGAGCCCCTGCTGCTCCGGCTGGGCTCATCCTGTCCCGAGTGGCACATGGCTACTCCTCTTCCCACATGTACCGTGTCAGCAACATCAAGCTGACGCGGTGCGTGTGGGAACCCTGTCCCTTCCCCAGCCCTTTAGCAGCCATTAGGAAGCTGCTGAAGGGCCGGGGGAGGGACAAGAGGTGGGAAACAGTGTTTACTTTTGTTTCCCGTCGCAACACCGTGGGCCACAGAAAACGGCTTGGCGGGCCGCGTGGCATAAAGGAAGCTAACAAACAACTCTCTGACACCACCTACTACAAAGAATTACAAGAAGATCCTACTCCCCTTCTCACCGTGAAACTCAAAAAATACCATCAAATCATTTCCATCAGAACTATAAGAAAACCTACAAACCTGGATCCCTCCACTACCTAACCCAGGGATGTTTTACATGATCCCCAAAATCCACAAACAAGGTAACCCTGGCAGACCTATCATATCCAACCATGGAACCCTAACTGAGGAAATATCAGGTTTCGTCGAATCAATCCTAAAATCGCTTGTCATCCAAAGAGCAAGTTTTGTCCAACACCCTACACACTTTCTACAGAAACTTAAAAACATAGACCACCTTCCCAGCAACACCCTCCTAGCCACCATGGATGTTACCAGCTTATATACCAAGATCCCACACCAGGATGTCATCCAAGCCTCCCTTACATACCTACGAGAGCAAGACGACAACTCAGAGTACAGACCCAAAGATATTACTGACCTTATACACGTCATCCTCACACACAATTTAACTTTTAATAACCACCATTTCCTTCAGACCATGGGCATAGCAATGGGCACCAAAATGGCCCCACAGTATGCCAACCTTTTTATAAGCCACCTGGAAGAAGAATTCCTCAAGGACTGCACCATCAAACCCTTGCTGTACTTAAGCTATATCAATGACATCATCATTTGGACTAAAAACCTGCAATCTCTGTTTGAGTTCCATCAGAAATTCAACAATCATCCCTCCATCTGACTATCTCTTGAATACTCTAGCACCAACATCTCCTTTTTAGACACGATGATCAGTATCCAGAAGGGTAAAATACAGACCATGTTATATAAGAAACCCACAGACCAACATACATATCTGCACAGAACCAGCTATCACCCTAAAGACACCAAGAAAGCTGTGATATCCAGCCAAGCCCTAAGATACCACCGCATTTGCCCTGAGAACACCTGGGATTGCCACCTCACCAATCTTAAAAAGGCTTTCACTCAACAAGGACACTCCTCCAGAAAGATAGATCACACGTTTGAAAGAGCCACCGGGATTCCAAGTGAAGAATTACTGCAGTACAGAAACCCACCCCCCAAGAATCACACACCGCTGGTTACGACATATCACCCCTCCCTCAAACCCAAATGGAAAATCCTCAAACAACTGCAACCCATACTAGAAGGAGACCCTATTCTTAAAGAGATCTTCCCAGAACCACCCATCCTAGCCTTCAAACAAGCACTGGACCTCACCAACCGCATCACCAGAAGCAAACTTCCTATGGCCCAGAACACACCAAATGGATCCAGACTATGACATGACAAGAAATGCAAAACCTGCCAACACGTCCACCACCCCCACAATTACTACACCCCACAACAGAGCCATCAGCATTCCCGGATCTTACAGCTGCACCTCCAGAAATGTAATATATATCATCCAATGCACCAAATGCCCTGATGGAAAATACGTAGGAGAGACCAAACAACAACTGTGCACCAGAATGAATGACACGGAAATCTATCAAAAACAAGAATACTCAATTACCTGTGGGAGCACATTTCTCACAAGAAAAACACTTTCTCTCCAACCTCTCAGTTCTAATCCTCAAAGGAAATTTACAAAACACTTTTCACAGACAAGCCTATGAACTTCACTTCATCAACCTCCTGGATACAAAAAAATCACGGACTATATATAGACATTGGATTTATGACACATTATAACCTGCCTGATATCTGACTCCCCAGGCACCTCTCCACTTTTACCTGCTACATCCCCCTTCTCCCTTTCCCCTCCCTCCCACCCCCCAGCCTCTCTCTCATCCCCTGATGCCTCAATTTACATCTTCACTGACTGCCTGTCTTGCGTGCATACCAGTCTCTGGGTTCTTTATTATTCATTCCATCCAGGAAGAGCACACACCAACTGCAGAGGCTTCCTCAGCCTGATGAAGGGATTTTAAACCCAAAAGCTTGCTAATAATTTTTTTTTCCAACTATTTAAGTTGGTCTAATAAAAGATATCAGATTCACCCAAAGAACCTTGTCTGCCTATGTCTTTAGATCAACACAGCTACAACCTACACCCCTGCGAATGGCTTTGGAATTTAGGAGGCTCTCTCACTCCCTTATCTGGCTATGAAAAATCTGAGCTTCATGGCCTGCCAGCACCCTTGTGGAATAAAGCTTGCAAATGAATATGTAGACAACCAAACAAAACAGACTGTATGCAATTTGTTCTGGGTGTATACTATGCCTATCACAAGGGTGGTTTGCTACTGCTCTGGTCCAGATAATAGATATCAACAATAATCTTTGCAGAAATCCATCTTGCACATAACATTAATTGGAAACCTCAAAGGCTACTCTGCTGCAGGTGGGGAAAAGAAGAAGAACAAAAAAAGGGAAAACAGAAAGAGGGGAAAGAAAAACAGAACAGCAAGAGGGTTAGATACCTCTGTCAGCTTAATGATTTCTCCGGAGCTGAGACACAGCTTCTTATTGTCATCCAGCACTGTGTTCATATTCTCAATCCAGACCGCATCGACTGGCCCGTCAAACATGTACCATTTCTTATTTGTATCCGTGGCAATAGCTCCTACCCGGATGAGTGATGAAAGGATCCCATCTGTCCTGTTAGACAGTAGGAAGGCAGACAAGAGTAATTGTAAAAATCACATGCTCCATCTCGAAGTAACATTCTGGCTTCATTACAGTCAATGGCAAAACTCCTGTTTACCTCAGTGAAGCCACACTTTCACTCTTGTGTTCATTATATATCCGTACTGGAATGCCTGACTAAATTAAAGTGAGCTGATGATGATCTCCTATTTGTTTTCCTTTGTAAATTTCTAGAATCTGCAGAGCCGCTCAGGATAACCTTTTGGACATTAAGTGATTGAGTCTCCCTATTTTAGGGGCAAAAATACTCCTTCTCACCACTCCTATGTACACAGCATAATAAGGATGCTACTAATGAAGCCATGCCCTGTCAGTGATGCAGCTGCTAATGAGGGGGACAGTGGAGCAAGAAATGTTCAGTGTAGATGACTGGGATTTATTCCATACATCAAAGGCTACTGTGAATTCCTGCTCAGGCCCTAACCTGCACTCCCATTATTAAATAATTATTGTTATTTATATAGCACCTTAGGTGTCCAGGGCCACTGTTACCAAGATCAAAAGAAAAGAGACTGCTCTGAAGCCTGGCTGATTAAAACAGATGGATTTATGCCTGTAAATGCCTTTTATGTGGATGCTGTATTTTTTGTCATGTTGATGTGTCTGTGCGCTGCCCTTGGGCAGAACCACATCGTAAATAAGCTGTCAAGCTTAACTGGAATATACTATAAAAATATCCTTCAATAAAGATGCACTGGAGCCCAAATCTAGTGAGTTTTGGGGCACAGCATAAGAAATATTTATTTGCTTCAGCTTTTCTCAGAGCTCTTTTTTATTGGTTTTCATGGTTTTATGAATTGTTCATTCTTCAGCTTTGTTCCTAAGCATCTGGCTGGCATAACAGGAAGGGAGACAATAAGGTGCTGACTCTCACTCTATGTTCTGGGGATGTCTAGGAATCCACAGAGCCCTCCTGAGCTGGCTCCAGTGGATTTCTGAGCAGTAATGGGCTGTTGTGAGGGGAGATGGCCCATCAGAGGGGTGTACAGAATGAAGAAACTGGATAATAGCTAAGATAAACCAAAGGCCAGTTATTTGCAGTTCCTGGGAGCTTTGCTCCTAAGAATCAGGAGAATCCTAAGAATTCCTCCAGGAAGCTTTGCTTCTAAGAACCAGCCTAATACCCCTGTGCGCCTCTGAAAATCTTCTAATTACATAAAAATATCAGCACAACCCACATTCATACAGCACAAAAGACTATTCATGCCTGCCAGTAAAGGAAGGAAAGCCCTTTAAGATGTTTTATCTTAGAGGGTTCCTAGCCCTAGATCACAAGGAGAGGAAGAGAGCGGGTTTTGTCCTTTACCACTCATGTGTTAGTAAATCAAATTCTCCATAAAGCTGGCCCATAGTGATGGATTTTGGATTCAGTATGAAGTAGTTGACTGCTTCATAATTCCCACCGCTGGCTGAAGGTTGACCTTTTAGTGATGTCATGGCAGCTGCCAGAACTTTGTAACACTGCAGAGACAGGAGGGCAAGGGAATTAAACACAACAGCTCTATAACAGTGAAGAAAAGGGAATGTAAACTCACAGTGATCAATTCAAGGAAGGAGATAGAATGAAAGATTTCGCACAAAAGCTGCACGTGGCCAGCAAAATGGGCTGACAAGAAAGAAACAAGATGCTAACAGAAGCAGAGAGTAGGAAATAAAATCTCCAGTACAAAACAGATGAAATATTTGGAGGCACCCCATCACACAAGCACAAGTTAAACCCTCTGATTCTTGCATGGTACTCAGTTTAGGCACCAGTCTTAAAGCTCACAATCTTAAAGAGCAGGAGACAAAATCAGGTTCTTCTCCACATCTAAAGGCAAAACAAAAGCCTCTCATGTTCACAGCTTCTATGTGCAGGAAGGCTGCAAATGTATAGCATTAGTGTTTCATGAAAAGTTCAGCCCTCTGCTCTGAGTCTCCTTTCAAATGCAAGCAAGATATTAAAACACTGTATCCGATGCAGTGTCTCAGTCTCCCTTACCTTTGTTTTTCCAGATCCAGTTGGCCCTACCAGCATGAGGCCATGGCGGACCACAGTGGTTTCATAGAGCTGGATACACTTTGTCACAAAACCTGAGAAGGAACAAGAATCCATTTTACTTTCCTGAAGATCAGAAAGCAGCCACACACTCCATCTGGCAGAGCAATGGCCTAGCAGCCCATGCCTTAGAAGCTAGAGTTGTTTTACTGGCTTATAATTACTGTGGCTGCAATCAAGGGAAATTTGTGAGTATGCACTTATCCTTAGCAAACGAGTAGCTGACATTTAATACAAGAGGACTAGGCCCACCCTTAATTATAAGGATGGGACATAAAATTATGCTGGTTCTGGATGGTAACACATAATTGTTAGTTCTGTCAGCCATAGCCATTATACAGAAAAATTCAGTTTCAAAATACCTTACTACCTTTATTTCAAGAGGTGATATGCTGTAGAACAACAACAAGAAGTGACATCACATTCTGTACAAGATACCTTCATTTCATTGTTCATCACTTCACTCCTGAACAGTATAACACTGAATAAAGAGCGCTTCTGAAATCATCAACAGCAAAAAAATCAAATAAAATTGATGCTCTTAACTCCCTCTTTATGATGTGCAAGGACTGCCTCCAGATGTGTTTCATTTAAATTTCTGACTTCTATCTGGCATTTCAAATGCCAGGTCCTGGCTTACTGCATTTTAGTGGAGGCCTCTCAGAATTTTTAGAGGCTCTGATTCATGACATCATAGCTGAAGACTGAAATTGGAGGCGGCGGCTTCCCCAAAAGATTCAATATATCTATTGAATACTATCTGAGACTGGCTGTGCTGTTACACTGACTTTAACTTTGAAGTCCTCCAAAGATTGCTCAAGTTCTCTATGAGAGGAGTCAGAGCCTGATATTTTTGCCTGAAAAGGCCAGCAGCAAAAAGTATTGCTGAAGCTGTGTCTGCATGCCAAAAAAGGAACAATATACACACACAAAAGGGCTTTAGTTTGCTTTGCACTGACCTTTAAGATTTTTTCTACTTACCATCTACATCCTTCAGGTTGTCTTTGATGCATGATTTGCGTATTGCTTTCTCCAGGATGCCATAGTCAATAGGTTCCTCTTTGATCCTGGGAAACAGGTCAGAGACAATACCGTTGAATAGCTTGAGGTCATCCTGGAGGAATTTTGGTACATTAACATCCCGGATGGCCCTCAGGCAGATCAGCTCCTGCAAAGAATTAAGAACAAATATTTAAGCAAGCTCTGTACCTCAGCTTGCAGCTTTCTGCAAGATACCCATTACATCTGTCACACATGGCCTGGTGTATCAGACTCTCCAGTTCAGAAGTCATGTCTATTTTGTTTGCTTTTTCTCAGTTACTTCATCCATGAGCCCTGGAGAATTTCCATGGTGATTTGCCATAATAGCTGTCGGTAACTAGAGAACAATGGAGGTAGATCAATTATGGGTGGAGCGTACTTGCCTCATTCATAGTAGGATTCTCTCTCTTCAGGTTGCCAGCAGCTGAGATCACAGTCTTCACAGCTCTCATTCCAAAGTCATAGTGATCCTAGAATAGCATGGAGGAAACAGATCAGTCAGATGCTAGAACATCACCCTGGAACAGCAAACCTGCCATCTCAAGCTTTAGGGCAAGTGGAAAAGAGGATTTTTTTTTCTTGGAATGGTTGTTTTCCCACCATGTTGATTTGCTTGGTAAGCTAGAAAAGCCATCTCTCCTTTAAATATTTAGTCTTTATTGCATGAACTTTGTTAGACTGCATGAAAAAAGGAACTGTAGGAACTGCTTTTAACCCAACTGTCCAATATAAAGTAGATAACGCTATAATATTAGACACTCCTGGGTCACAACAGGATGAAAAGTAACATTAGAAGAAGAATAAGGTGGATGAAGGATGGCTCTGGACAGGATTGTGCACACAGGCTTGAGAGCCTACAGAAGAAACCTGCTGTGGTGTCAGAATTCATAGATGCACTTGAATACTCTGGTACCAGCAGGAGGAATCCCTCCCCACAACCATTTTAGGAAACGTTAGATGGTAGAAAGTCACTGACTTGAGTGCTGAGCTGTTCTGAAGACAATTTGAATGTAGTGGTGATCTTCTTTGCAAGGACCTTGGCTTCATTAAACCCAAAGGAGTAGAGAGAGATCTCAGCAATCATGGAGTAGTCTGGGACCATCATAGCCACAGGACGGAAGAGAGCCTGCAACATACAATATCATAATGACAGGACTCACCACCAGTTCACTCCCTGTTTCTTTTTCTAGCAGGTCTAGAATGGTATATGGTCTGCTTGAAGCCTGCAGTTTGTGGAGTACAGCCTTGGCCTATCTCTTGGACCTCTGACAATTTCAGTATTTGCTTACAGATGAGACTGTATCCTACCAAGAGTACATTAGCCTAACTCGTGTGATAAGGACATGGTGAAATCACCAAATAGCCCATTGCAGTGACTGGTAGTAGTACTGGGTTGTCTATTTTTTAAGTGATAGTGGATGCATCTACACAAGGCACTAACTGTACAGTAGCGGGCCAGGCAAAACCACACTAATACTCTACTGCACACTTAGTGTCCAAAAACCCACCATGCACCAGCACTACTGTGAAGCAGCACAAGTTACTGTGCATTGATTTAATACTCATTATCCAAGTACTAAACTTAATGCACAAGTAACTACACTGCATTAATGTACATGTAGACACACCCACTGACTACACTGTTCTAAGAGGATTCTTGCTCTAAGACACACTGGGGTATAAGCTGGCTATCCTGAGGCATAGATTGCTGGAGCATGAAGAAAGCAGGAGACAGTCAGAAAATCCATACCATTCAAATGGTGTGTGATTCTAATGAAAGGGAAGGTGCCATTCTGAGAGACAGCCAACACAGCTTCACTACAGGTAGATCATGCCTGACCAACCTCATCTCCTTCTATGACCAGGGGACGTGTCACCTGGACATGGGGGTAGAGGTTGAAGTCATTTACTTGGATTTCAAAAAAGCCTCTGACTTGGTCTCCCATGATGTCCTCATGGCAAAACTGGAGAACTACAGCCTCGACAACCTTACAGTCCAATGGCTGGGGAACTGGCTCTGTGGTCAGACCCAGAGAGTGACAGTCAATGGAAATGAGTCATCATGGCATGTGGTGACCAGTGGCATCCCTCAGGGTTCAGTACCCAGACCAGTACTCTTTTTAATAAATTCATTAATGATCTGGATTCGCTTGTCAGAAGCAGACTAGCCAAGTTTGCAGATGGCACCAAACTATGGGGAAGTACGGTTACACTGGAGGATATGCTGGGGATACAGCCTGACATGGATAGGCTCGCAAAGTGGGCAGATATAAACCTGATGACCTTTACCATAGAGAAATGCAAGGTGTTCCACCTTGGAAGAAAAAACCCATATCATACCTATAGGCTTGGCAGTGCTTCACTCACTAGCACTGTGTCTGAAAGAGACTTGGGGGTTACGATTGACCAAAAGATGAACATGAGCCACCAATGAGATACTGCAGCCAGCAAAGCAAATAAAACCTTGGCTTGCATCTACCAATGCATCTCAAACAAGATCCAAGATGTCGTTCTCCCACTTTATTCAGCCTTGGTGAGGCTGCAGCTGGAGTACTGCATCCAGTTTGGGGCTCCACATTTTAAAAAGGACGTGGAGAAACTCGAAAGAGTCCAGAGGAGAGCTACGTGCATGATCAGAGGTCAAGAGAGCAGGCCTTATGAGGAGAGGCTTTGAGGCACGGGACTCTTCAGCTTGGAAAAGCAAAGGCTCAGGGCAGACTTGGTGACAGCCTGTAAGTATATCAGGTGTGTACAAGATCTGGGAGAATGTCTGTTCACCAGGGCTCCCCTAGGAAAAACAAGGTTCAATGGTCTCAACCTGCTGGAAGAACATTTTAGACTGGACATAAGGAAGAACTTCTTTATAGTCTGAGTCTCTAGATTCTGGAATAGACTCCTTCCAGAAGTGGTGCAAGCACCTACTCTGGACATGTTCAAGAAGTGTTTGGATAATTACCTTGCTGGGGTCATCTGATCCCAGCTGACTTCCTGCCCTTTGGGCAGGGGATTGGACCAGACAATATTGCAAGGTCCCTTTCAGCCCTAATGTCTATGAAATCTATGGCCAGGACAGCCAAATAACATGCTAATTTCAGCTCTCCAGCAGTCTGCATAGAGTAGGCTCCTGTGGATTTCCAACCACCACTGACATCTGTCCTTCCCCATCTGCACATGGAAATCCTGAAGTAAAGCAGCAGCTGCAAAGCTGTCTGCTTTCTCTTGGGGTAAATCCCTATTGGGCATCACGCCATACAGAAGAGAGGAAATTATTTATTTCTTCAGTGAATCTAGACTCAAATTTGGCACAATCCATAGCTTTAACAGCTAAAGTTAATTCTAACAAGTGTCATTCTCTTCTGAACAAGCACAGCATAAAATGGCATTAATGGAGTTTCAGGACAGGTGCTCCCAATAACATCAGATCAAATGCGCTAACTATACAAGTGAAAGGAAAGCATTTTTGAAGTATCTGTGCTGTCAGCTTACCCTACAACCAGCCAGCCAGGCCAGGTTCATCTTAGAGCAGGTTTATGGTATCCAAAGAAGCTAGCTGTGATGGACCAAGTGATTTCAGGTACCTCGTTTTTTTGGGAGCCCACGTTGAGATACCCTACCTAACTACCCAGACTTTCATGGCACAGGCACTCAGTGCATTCAGGTTCTGGCTCCCCAGAATCATATGGCACTTTGGAAGCCCAGGCCTGGACATTCATGTCTACAAGGCATTTTTCTTATTGCATCTGGAGCATCCCCATGTATTTTTCAAGCCATATCCCAGCAAAGAACAGACCAGCCCCAGAGAGTGGCTCAGCTCTCATGCCTGCTATGTCATGGTATTGCAGGGTGGTGCTGGGAAGACCAGTTAACACCAGTATTCCTGTCATGCATGTATCATGACGTATACACAACTGGCAGAGCAGTGGTGTAACATGTACTGGCCCATAAGGAACTGACATCAACAACAGTTGCAGGCTTTCCCTGTTAATGTAAGGCCTCCTGAGGCCTTAAATCTCTGTGTTTAACATCTGCGACTTACCACAATCCCAGATGGACAACTATGTCCAACTACATGAGGTGGGGACAGGAGGTACAGAATACTGGTTTTTCATTAATAATGATATTCCTAGATATCTTAGGTCCCTACACTAAAGACACAGGTCCATATTTGAATACCTCATAATCACCCTCTCAGCACCCCTGTGAGATTATAAATGACTTATAAGGAAGTCTGTGGTACAGCAGGA